CCACAAAAAGGAGCTCTCATTTTTGGAAGAAACGAAGTCGGCAACTACCTTTCTTTGATTCTGGAAGTTGAAGCAGGAAGGAGAAGCACCAGTAGAAGTTAGATTTCCCAAGTTGCTTGCTAGAGGTTGCTCGACCCTTCTTAGTTTTTCAAGGATTACGTGCTTCCATCTCCTCTCCCTCGACTCTATCTAGACGCACACGAAATGACCCTCTCAAGCACTTCATTCTTCTCATTTCTCTGGAGAAAATCAAACTCAACAAGGAAAAAACCCCTCCACCAGTTCTCTCCCTCTGGAAGAATAAAAAAATGTCGCTCGGTTCACCCAAATCACACAGAAAATCTCCTTCCTCTTGTTTCCGCCAGCCGAAGTAGCATCATTCTTGTCACAATACCGTATAGTTCCCAAGATGGGCTATATATGAATGATCGTGCCCCTCAACAACCCCAAATTGATGCATTCACACTACCCTTGATATAGTCTTTATTATGCCGGGGGATCATGGAAAAAAGACTGACAAATATTTAGTTTCAACCATTAGATTATGGGTTTCTTAATTTGTAAATGCTCAAATAAAAAATTGGCCTACTCGAATGAGTTGATTTGGGTTTGACTTTGATTCAATTTGGGTTAGTTAGACTCGATTCGAGTCGATTTGATTCAGTTGAAGTTGTTTCAACTTAATTAGGCTTAATTGAACTCAATTTGGCCCGAATTAATTTAATTTGACTCAAGGCAACTTAATTCTACTCGATTTGATTTGATTTGACTCGTTTCAACTAAATTGAGTTGATTCAACGCAATTTAACCAGTTTTGATGGAATTAACATCAAATCGAACAATCTAATCAATTAAATTGAGTTGAATTTGTCTTAATTAGTCAATTTTAATTGAGTCGCCTTGAGTTCAAATGCATCAATGAATGATTGTGAACTTCATTCCAAAAATGAGTTCAGCAATTAAAAAAAAATTAGTCGAAAAGAAGCATTTAAAATTTGTCATCATAGTTAAACGTATAACAATGTAGGAAGAGTTGAGAACATCATGTTCCCTCATTTATATTATCTTTCTTGATATGTAATAAACCTTGAAGAATGGTGATTTATTTAATTTTCTATTTTGGCCTCTTTTGGCAAATGAAATTTGGAACTTTTTGCCCATGTCTTCTTCGAACACCGTCATCAGAGTCATACTGGGTATTTGGATTACCAATACCCCTAACAACAGAATTATCATGAGTAGCAAATACATATGGGTGGATTTGGATCAATGATGTTGCATGCATATGAGGTGCCAACTGTTGCCTTTGGTAAACTGAACATCCTGGGGAGGAGGCTCTGTTTTCATAACAATATTTAAAGTATATTCTAGGTTTTGAGTACAAACTATATTAGAAGAAGTTTGCAGTTAGGGTTTTCTTCATCTGAGTGCTCTCCTATTTGATGATTGCTAGTCTTATGGAAAGATGATTTCCTCAATTTCTGAGCGATCTTTGAAGCATCCTGTGATGTTGTGACCAAAAAGTTTTGCAGAAAGAATAATATAAAGGAACACCATCAAATTTTACATTTAACCAATAATAATGGAGCCAATCCAAATCTCCTTCTTCAATGGGATAAAATGTTTATTTCATGGCGGCCTGGAGAGTTTAGCAATAATAGCATCCACTTGAAGCAATTTTACAAAAAAACAAAACCAAAAGAAAACATGGTGAATTGGCTTAAGTAGTGAATTCAGAGCTGAGAAAAATCAATCCAAACTGGATTTACAGTTGGCTCCTTGGATTAATCAAATTGAGGAGGCCATTTAAGTAAAACATCAGAAAGACATCCACATAGCATGATTTCCATGAGAAAAGTCTTGAATAATCAACTTTTAAGGTTAAAATATGTACATGATGGGAATCAAGAAGCGACAATAAGTTCATTTTAGTGATTTATGACAAACTTCAGTTGTGATGCTTTGCATTCATTTCTTTGGCTTTACTTGGGGTAAGCTACACTTGATTTTGTAGGATTTGCAATTAATGCTTGCTTTAGGTTGTGCTAGAGGTGTGCTAAGGAAGAATCAAGGTTTTGATGAATGTGCTAAGTGGAACTAAGGAACTAGGCCACACCTAGCCCATTTGGTGCAATTCTTTCAACTTGAGTTGTTTAAAATCCCATGTATTTTGGATCCAATTCTTATAGATCTATTCTCAGTTCTTTGTTCAATTTTCTTCATCGTAGTCAGGTCTCATAGATTAATTTATGTTAAATTAAGTTTGAAGATATTTGTTTGATTTAGTTAGTAAAAGCCACTAATAATGCACTGGCCAATAGACTAGCATCAGTTCTCGTTTTATCAAGCTAATGAAAGGATATATATATATATATATATATAACCAGAATTTAAAAACTGATCCAACCCTTTCCCACTATTTCAGCTCTGGTCAGGTTAGGGTGAAATTTGGTTTGAGGTTGATTCCAATTTTTTGAACAGCTTAGAGTCCCAATTTTATTTCAGCAAAGAATGAAGCTAACCTGGAAGGTTTGCAGTCCTAGGCAAGGAAGCTAGTTCCTTTTTTGCACCTGCTCTGAGAAATTCTGGATCTTGTATACAAATTGTTTAGGATTAAAATTAATCAACATAATAGACTAGACTGATTACATATCTTCTGCACACCTATCTTTATATATTCCCACCAATGCGGGGTCTAAGAAACAACGTTATTGATTATATTGACTATATAAATGTATCCTTAAACTCTACATTGGTGGGAGCTTACGTTATAAGCCTCAACGTGCTCTGAAAGCTGTTCAAGCTCAATTCTTTCCTTGAAAGACTTTTCTATTACTCAAGCTGTCAAAATAGGAGTTAACTGGGCTAGTTTGTCTTAATTGATGATTGGGTTTGCTTTGTCTACCCAGCATAATTATTGTTTGGACTTGTCATCTTAGAGAGGTAAATTTGTGGTTGCCATTAGCCTTATCATGATTATTTAGCTTCGGTTTTATGAATCCTCAGTTATCATTTATTTCTGCTAAGTATTGCCTGATGTGTTAAATTTGTTCTTCACAAATTATTTTCAATAATTTATATGTATGTAACCTTAGGTCCACCCCTTCTCCCTCATAGTCTTTAGACATTAATTTTATCTACTTAACTAATGGGTATAAATTTTCCCTTTGTTATTCATCTAAAAAACCCTAAAGATGTTAAACCTGGAGATAAATCTTGTACTTGATCCATATCCATAGTGCGTTTAGGTGTCTGCCAAGATGTATTATTCCTTGGTGGTTGCATCTGAGAGTGAATTTTTTTCCATTTGTTAAACCTTCTTAATTAAGACTTCATTTGAGATAGTTTAGGCCACTGCTTTTTTGCTGCTTTTAATAAATTTTTATATTTTAAAGCTGCTTTTGAAAACAGTAATAAAACTGTCTCAAATGAAGCCTAAATGATTATTGGTTTTGAAAAGTGGTTTGTCATGTTAATTTTGTCAATGTTACCGGGTCATAACTGAGTTTGCAATATTTTGTGCCTAATTTTGATAGTATTCGGTTTTCAATTTTTGTTTCTATTGTTTGGTGACCTTTAATGGTTTATCTAACATGTCTAATATGCCATTTGGAGTTTGTACTCAAAGAAGTTGATGTAGGGAAAGAAAAGAGGGGGGGGGGGGTGCGCAATTGATGTGCTTTAGTTTTGGGATGAGTTGGTTCCTTGTTTGGACTTGGTTGCCTCAGTTTTGCTGTCCATTTTGGCATGCTGCTATGTATTTCTACTTAAATTAGCTCATTATTATTTAATTAATGCATATCCAAGTTCATGCCCCCTTTCCCTCCTCTCTTTGCTGGCCTTTCAGTTCCTCCGTCTGGCTCTTGTCCCGTGGCTGGTTCCTCTCCTCGTGGCTGCCTGTTCCGGTTCCCTGTTGGCGCCCGTTCCTATCGCCCTTGTAGCCCCTTCGGGTGCTACTCCTGGACTGCCTGCTGGCCTTCTGTTTCCCCTTTCCTGAGTGGTTCAGCTGGAGGTACTTTGGGTTGTTTAGCTTCCTTTTTAACTATAGATATGTGGTGTTTTGAAGAATACAAGAAGAGATTATGTGATAATTTTTGGAGCAAAAAACCTGCGGGTTTCTTCTTGGAAAAGCATGCGAGCTTGTTCCACTTCTCTTCTCCTCTCTACGACTTCATCTCGGGCTTCTTATCTCCTTCTCTCCTCAAGTGACCACCCCATTTGTATCTTTCTTCTCGACGAATGAAAGCAACTTTAGGTGTTTGATGTTTGCTTTTTTATGTTCTAAGCTTGTATGCATCGTCCTTATATGAAAGTTGAATTGTATTTTGTTTAAGTGTTGTATTTTTTCTATTTTCTTATTTTATAAGGATGTCCTAGTTTGTGTGAATTTTGCGATTTTTTTTATTACATCAATTTCTTATCAGAGCTTTAGGTTTTTAGTCTTCTTTTCTATTTAAAAAAATTAAGAAAAAAAAGAGGATGATATGGAGTTAAAACCTGCGGGTTTCTTCTTGGGAAAGCTTGCGAGCTTGTTCCATTTCCCTTCTCCACTCTACGATTTCGTCTCGGGCTTCTTATTTACTTCTTATATCCGCAAGTGACCACCCCATTTGTATCTTTCGTCTCAAGCAAAGAAAAGCAGTTTTATGTGTTGTTTTTATGTTCTATCATAAGTTTAAGTTGTGTCATGTTATGTTTTAAAGCTTAAGTGTGTTTGTGTCTTAATTATTGTGTTATTTTGTTATGTTTAAAAGGAAGACCTAATTTGTATGTTTTTTTCAATATTTTAATTGCATCAGAAGTATTCTTAGTTTGAATGGTCCAACTTTTCATTAGATAATTATATGACACGATATTGTGTATGCTTCTACAGCAGAAAAGATGCATGTCTTCCTTTTTCTTTTTCAAAATTTAAAAAATGCTAACTTTAAATCTTGAATTTGGAGCTCTTATGTGTTTATCAATTGATATATTAATCATATTACTTTGCAATTGTCAAGGTTTTGGGTTGCAGTGAGATTTCAGCATTTTCAATTTCTTCGGAAGGTCGGAAGAGTGGCTGCCAGGGAAGAATTTGCTATTGAATCATGGTTGGTTGCATGGGCATGCCAATCTGATTGTCAGGAAAATCTTTTAAATTCTATATTGTCCACTGAACCATCTTGGTTAGAAATGCGCAATTTGGGCCTGGGATATTGGCTTACAAATGCATCCCAACTACGGGCAAGAGTAAGGATGGGCTTGTCTTGGTCAGCCCTACGTTTTTAAGGTTATTGTATGATTTCGTCTTGTTCCGCTAAAGTTCTTTTAAAAAATTTTCTGACTGGATTTTGATAAAATGCTTAAGATAAAAATCTTTTTATTATCTCTCCTTATTTTTGATGTATTATGTTGAAAATCGTTTTCTTACTTTTAAATTAACTTGTTATCGCGTTTGGAAATGGTATGCTTTAGGATAATTTATTACGTTGGTGTTCATTGGTTATTTCATGGTCTTAAGTAGTTCTAGGTCTTGAAATAATGCGTAGCATCTCAATGCCAGTTTACAATGGTTTGTTATCTATGCTTGCAGGTCATTAGCACAATAATTTTTTTTTATCTTTTTTGTATATTTTGGGTGGTTGAAGTGGCGGAATGCATCGGGCTTGTTATGTGATAGAAATGTACCCCTCAAACTTAAGGGAAAATTCTATAAGATGGTAGTGAGGCCTGCAATGCTTTATGGTGCCGAATGTTGGCCATTAAAAGAGAAGCATAATACTAAGTTAAGTGTGGCAGAGATGAGGATGCTTAGATGGATGAGTGGCTTTACCCTTAGAGATAGGATACGAAATGAGCATATACGTGAAAAGGTTGGAGTAGCTCCAGTAGAAGATAAGATTAGAGAGAGTCGCCTTAGATGGTTTGGTCACATAAAAAGGCGGCCTTCCGACGACCCAGTTAAGAGAGTAGAGGTATTAGATTTGACTTGTGTTAAGAAAGGTAGGGGTAGACCTAAAAAGACTTGGTTAGAAAATATTAGGAATGACCTTTCTTTATTAGATTTAAACGAGAATTTGGTTTTTAATAGGACACAATGGAGAAAAAGGATTCATGTAGCCGACCCCACGTAGTGGGATAAAGGCTTGATGTTGTTGTTGTTGTTGTTGTTGTATATTTTGGGTGGTGAGGCTTTGTCAATTTTTCAATAACCATTGACATTTTGCCTTCGACATCCACCATGTTTGAATTTTGCAATGGTATAGTGTGAACTGTGGACCTTGTTTTTGGCATGAATTAGATGCTTAAAGCTTAATCATGAGTAGCTTAAAGAAGAATGTTTAGCTGTTTTGCTTAAGATTTTGACTAAATGTAAGGTATCTAGCTCCTTAGAAATGGCATGCTTCCATCTAGAAGTAGTTGTCTAAGGGGAAAATTTTTAAATCATGTAAACTCTTCTTGCAGTTAGTTTTGGACTTTCATCAAGCTTTTCATTTGTCCGGTGGCACACCGGTGTCCTATTCCCTTTTTACATGATGGATTTTGGCCATTTTAGGGCAGTGAAAATAAGCTAGACTATTTCTCTCTGCTGAGAGCTTCATTACTGCTAAATTGAATTATATCAACTTCCATGAGTAAATCTCATGGTTATTGTTTTGATTATGGCAGTCAAAAGACTGGAGAATGCAATCTCCTTTGTACAAAATCCTGATTATAGTGTAGTTGGACATCAATCAGCATGTTTTGTGTTTTAAAATTGATTCCCATGGAAAACATACGTCATATATAAGATTAACTTGCATGAATCTTCCATTTAGAAGGGATTTTATTTTTCTTTTATTGCAATCTTTTCCTTAGATTCTAAAAACAATTGTGAACTTCATGTTTTTGTCCCTTTTTCCCTTCCTCTACAACTCTATAAATGTCGTAGACTCTCCTCAAGATTTCTCATATATCTTAACAAAATATGTGAACTACTTATGTATATACCTATGTAAAGTGGAACTTTGCTTTTTAACTGCTCCTCTATTTCTATAAGGATTCCAATTCATGTGAGCGTGATTTGGAAAAGGTTTACCATTTATCTTGTATGATTGTAATTCTCATGTGCTAAATTGGAAGAGATTTTCTTCAATTAAATTATTTTTTAAAAAAACTTTTATTCTTTAATTATGTCTATTGGTGGTGGAAATTCTTTTATAGGAAACTATACTAATGTGTACATCTTTGCTTCTCTCAACGAACCATAGCGACACTTGTTTCCAATCAATATTTTTCTTACATGAGTATGCGTGGTATCTTCTCTTGTTTTCCACCATCATCTTTATCGTTCACTCGTCTTTATGTGCATTCTTCGTATGTTCATACCCACGTGTGTATTGCTCACCCTTGCATTCGACTTAGACATCGCTCGTGGGATGCTTTCTTTTGTCGAAGCCTCATGTCATTGACGTTTTGCTCTTCTTGTGCTCATGATTGAGTAGGATATTCGTTGTCAGTCTCTCACACACCTTTTCTAACTACTTTTCCGCCTTGCAGAATTTTGTTTTTCCTCTAGTGATCGACTTAATGCTCGATCACCATCTTTGACTTTGCATGGTTCTATAGCTGATATTTTACCTTTCTCCAACATTAGTTGCTCCTAAGGTTTTGGATGAACCTTCAATTAAGTTGCTACCTCTTATACTGGTGGCTCCTTGCTTCATAGAGGCTCTTCCTACTTCCTCTCTTTTGGAATATAAGCCTCTAGTTGCCCACCCTCCTCATTCTTTTACAAATGTTGTTGGTGAGCTGAATGATCAAGGGTTTCTTTTACTTCAAATAATCATTTTTTTTATTCTATTACCAATATCTAATATCACCACCTCATAAGCATCTATCCACTTAGGGGTGTCAATATATGACATGACTCGAAAACCCAACTCGAAAATTCTTGGTTCGGGTCGACCTGTTTGATAAATGGGTCGGGTTCGGGTTAACTCGAGAACATGAAAACAACCCATTTGACCCGAAATCGTGCTCTCCCTTGTGCCTTTCCCCCTCGCCTCGCGTCCTCGCTCTCTTGCAGCTAGCCCTCATCTCTCGCTTACTTGCCCTCTTACTCGACGCTCAATGCGCTCGTGGGTTAGTGGGTCAGGTCAGGTTAACTCGGGTCGGGTCTGATCTAAATTTGGATTTCTGATCCATTTGTCTAATTGGATCGGGTTCAGATTGGATCAATTGAAGGCTGATCAATTTTGGGTTGGACTCGAACCCGACCCAGAAATTCATTTTAACACCCCCATATCCACTTATCACGAAAAATTTGCTCCATCTTTATGGAAAAGGAGATTTAAGAGCTTGCTAGATCTCTCTTTTTATACATTGTTGGCCAGTACAACCTGAAGATTATATACAAAATCTTGTTTGATTTACATTTACTTTAACGGTGTTCCTTCAGGCTCATTGACCCTCATCATGTTATTATTAGACCATCTTCAAAAATAGACTACACCAACCTTTTCTGTCAACTATCCTACTATATTTTAGTGGTTTCCTCATTTTGATTCTTCGGAGGAATCACTTATCACTCCAGTTTAGATTACATTTTCTTGACTTTATTTACTTTATTTCATCCATTCTACTTTATATTCACCGTGTTTTATATTTTGCAATGACAAATCATTGAAAGTGGATAGTGCTATTGCTTGTATTTCGAGGCCTTTTGTGACTAGTCCTAGTTGAGCTAAATCTTACTTATTAGTTAGAAAGGAGGTGTGGATTGACTCCTTGATTTGTAGATATTAGTAGCGGGGATTTGATGGAATCTCAACATATTTTTCATCTTGCAAAATTTTTGGGTAGATTTTCTTTGAATATTTAATAATTATCTAAAAATATAAAAATCCAATTAAGATGCACAATCAAATTATTAGATTCAACCTCCATCATTTTGGTGGCAACTTCACTATTAGATCAGGTCTTAAATTAGAAGTTATAACCTATCTTAGATTTTTGTTTAGAGCTAGAGGCTCTTGTGCCTATATTTGTTTGACCTATGGTGACGGTTACATTTACACTTACAAACATCACCCGTGATCCTACTCCACTTATTAGTATAACACCTAATCTCCATCCAAATTATTAACACAACCACGATCGGGCTGCTTTTCAAACTTATATTTTACATGAGAGCGCTTAGAGATTAACTCTTTGGTGGATAGGATGTTTCAAATTCTTTTTGCTATACGAGACACGAGTTAGAAGAAAATCTATATTTTCAATAGGTTTGAAGCAAGAAAATTCAGTCATTTAGTAGGTTTTATGTTCCTAGGGATTTTGTATCATAGACTTTCATGTTATTTGTATATTGGCTTGTGTACTTCCTTTTTTCTTGGGAAATTCTTCAAAATAGCTCTCGATGTAGCACATCATTTTCTCTTTATAGTTTTTCACTTCTTAAAAAAAAAATTCCTTTTGTTGGTAATGATTTTTCTCTATTTTTTTTGGGTTTCCATGTTGACATTTCAGGTTGAAATATCTTATTGTTATTTCTACCTTTAAATTTTACAAAGACACTCCTACTATCGTTGCTAAATCGAGCAGTTCTCTAATACTTATTTTTCCTTCGTTTATTATTGCTACAGATGGAGAAGCTGGCTAGACTGCAGTATCTCAAACGGAAGAATCCGAAGGACTGTGCACTTTTATACTTAGCATTGAATAGGCTTCATGTTTTGGCTGGTCTTTTCAGGATCAGCAAAGATGAGAAAGACAAAATTTTATTTGGATTCCTCTCAAGAAACTTTCAGGTACCATATGCAGAATGACATTTAATAGTGCATAAGTTACGCATCTTCTTTTTTGTGCTGGCGTTGATGCCTCACCGAGTGATTCAGTTTAAAAAGGAAATTGTTTCAGCTTAAGGCACTCGATGCCTTCCTTATACGAGCTCATTTCGTTCATAAGTGTATTGTTTATATTTCAATCGTTTTTAACTTCTTATTTGTTGAACATATGGCCTGCAATATATGTTAAGAGATGTAAACCTGTCATTTTATTCATCCTTTATCTTTTATCTTCAATATGTCAATCCTTTCTGCTTCATTGTTCTTTGGAGCTATGTTTGCAATCTAAATTCTGTGATATTCTCTCTAATTTTCTCTGCATGTTAATATTGCACGTTTTTTGAATTATACTGTGTGCCAAGGGTCTTATTCTTGTTTCCTTTGATTTGATTTTCTACTTATTATTCTTGGCCATGGTTTGGATAATGCATCGATAGTTTCTCATTTGCAATTTTATACCGTTCTATTATTCTATCGCTATCATACCAGTATCATTTTTGTTATTAGTTGTTCCTTTTTTATAAATATTTATGTTATCATCAATTTTGTATACTAAAACTAAATTATTTCTATTTAATTGTGGACTCTTATAAATATTTTTCTGAATGCTTATTCTTACTTATTCTGATACTTGGCGAGCATTTTTAACTATTTATTTAATGGCCCTTGCATTTTGCGTTGAATATGTTGTAGATGCCAGTTTTTGAAGTTATGAAAGCGTAAATAGGATTGTCCTTTTTATCATTTAATGGAAATTGGCACCTTATTTTTAAAAGGTGGTGCCTTCCTCTCCCTTAAGCAATCTTGGCCCTTTGGCCCATTCATGGCATCTTTGAGCTTGATGAGTATGATCTATATAATTCGGATTTAGAGTCTCGTTACAGGGAAGATCTTGGAACAAGGGTTAATGCTTTTGTATGTATTCATATGGGTTAGAAGGGAGTGGGGCAACTTTTTCAGATGAGATCTATTTAATTAGTAATACATTTTAATGGAGAAATATGCCAAAATGGTCCCTTGACTATTTGTATGGGATCATTTGAGTCCTAGATTATTAATGCGTTCACCTTGACTCTGGAAATGTGATCCAAAATAGTCTTTTTGTTGGATAGTTTGGTTCAAACTGAGGAGCTGAGGGACTATTTTAGATCAGGTTTGAATGGTTGAGGGACTAAATTGGTTGCATTAGATAGTTTGGGACTAAAATGACTACTTATAAATAGTTCAGTTACCATTTTGACTTTTTTTCCTCTATTTTAATTGAAGTTCTGTGTTTAAATTGAAGCAACTAACAACATTTATTCTCAAAGTGGTTTCCTTTTTGCAATGAAAATCATTCCAATAAAAAACCTTAATTCTTGTACAAATCTCATAAGATGTATTTCTAGAATACTAATATTGGCATGCTTTTGGTTAAGTTTTCACATTTGAGATTGACTTTTTGAATATTGTTGTGGAATTCTTGTGCTCTTTTAAAATCCAAACAGATCGATCTTCTTGCGATCAATCATATTCTTAGAATTTTAATTTGGCTCATTATCTCCATTTGGTTTGCTATTAATAAGTAATGTTCTTTTTTTGGGTTGTGCTTATAGTAATTCAAGTTCCCATTTGAAGACAAACCTATTAGTTGGTAATGAAATATGATATTCTCCTTAATCTTTGTTATTATTTTCTCAATGGGCTTTGAAATTGCTTGTTGTTTCTTAATTTAGGTTAGGCCGCTTTAGGCTGAACCGACACTTCCAGGGTCGGTTCTCTGCTACAGGAGACCGTCCTTTGGGGGGAAAATTGCTGCCCATGCCTAGTGGGCCCACTAGGCAATCTAATAGGGAAAGAAGTAAGGGGCAGCTAGGAAAGGGAGGGAAAATTTGACTTCGGGATTTGAAATTATAGAGGTTTTTATTAAATAGGAGTTGTCTAGGGTTAGGGTTATGCTTATTATTATATTCTCTTGGAGTTCTCTTGGGTGTTTTTGGCTCTAGATTCATCGTCTAGAGATTGTGAGAGAATGATCCTCCTCTCGAATTGAGGATCAATTGTATCTTTGTTTGTTCTTGCTTTTGGTTTGATTCCTATAATACAATATACTGTTTTGTGTTGTTTTCATTGAAGATATTGATATTTTCTCATTGTTTTTATCAATCTTATTAGGGTTTACTTGAAAAATTCAAGTATTTCCTATCAAATTGGTATCAGAGCAAGTCTTGGGACCATCGGGGGACTAATTTTTTTGAAATTCCAGCAGCAAAATTTCATATGGAGGAAGGAACCCTTGCTGATTTTTGGATAAAAATTTAGAAATTTTGATGGCGGCTAAGGAGGTAGATGTGTTGGAAGAGTGTTTTGAAGGAGAGATGAGCCAAATAAAAGCCACGGTGGAGGATCAAATTTCATCCGTAGAAGACAAGGTTTCATTCGTGGAAGACAAAGTTTCCGATCTTCATTTGATGGTGAAGAAGTTATTGGAAAATCAAATCCAAATAGTAGCATCAGAGGCAAAGGGACCAATGGGAAGAACTACGAATTTTGATTTTCATAAGAGGGAACACGATGTAGAAATCATTGAGGAGAAAGGGGGAAGGTATGGAGAGACGTGAAAATAGGGAACAAGGAGTAAAGGGTGCCTGGTTGGGAGAGAAAGGAGGGAAATTATGGTAGGAGGGGTGCTGATTTTGGAGAGAGGGAAGAAAGTGAAGAGGGGTTTGAAAATGAACATGTATGGGAAGATCAGGAGACGTGGGGAGAGCAAAGCTCTTACAAGAGGGGAAAGTATGGAGGAATACGGGGAAACGCGGGAGAGCCAAATGTGAGGAAGCTGAAGATGCCAATTTTTAAAGGGGAGGACGCTTATGGATGGATCTACAAGGCAGAGAGGTACTTTGCCTTCAATGAGTTGACGGATGAGGAGAAACTGATAGCAACATGCCTATATTTGGAGGGGAAGGCATTGTCGTGGTTCTAGTGGAGGAATCAAAGGAGACCTATACAGAGCTGTAGAGCATTCAAGGACTATTTATTAGAACATTTCTAAACCAACGGGGGAGGGGACTTCTATGAGCAGTTTTTTGCACTGGTGCAATACGGATTGGTGGCAAACTCTATAGCACGGATACTCCTATTTATGAGCCATGCTATATCAGACACGTGTCGGATACGGATACGCCTTCGATACGGCACGAATACGGCTTTGCTGTGTCCAATTAAAATATTATTTTAATTTGATTGGACACACGTATCAGATATGCGTGTCCTATGAAAAAATAAAAAAAGGTACCGGAACTCAGTACCTCTTGGTACTCAATATAGCTCGGTACTGCTCAATACCGCTCGGTATCGAAACATGGTACTTGGTACACCTCAGTACTCAGTACTGCTCGGTACAGCTCGATACTGCTCAATTTTGCTTGGTACCGCTCAGTACCTCTCTGCAATGCTCGGTACCATGCTCAGTATTAATGCTTGATAATGCTCGATACCGAGGGGTACCGAATGGTACCAAGCGATACCGAGAAGCTAGAGAAAGCTTTAGAACAACTCTTACAATAAAATTTGTTCCAGGGTGCTGCCCTCGAACCCCGCCAGGGGGCTGCCCCCTTGGACCCTCGGCTTATTTGCAACATATCTACACTTTTACTTAAAAAAAATTATGTTTCAAATTCATGTGGTTTATTTTGTGTCGATCCTTCATATGATAATGAGCTCTAGTGATGTAGGAACTGGGTCTGATGATGGGCTATCAGAGATCAATTCAATTTTTTTTGTCATTTCAAATATTACGCTTTGATTGCTTTCTTAATTTTTATGTATGATTTATATATTATAATGCCATATCAGCGCCGTATCCATATCTGGTACTTTAAAGAATTGATGTGTCCCATATCTGTATCGTGTCGTATCCGTGTCGCCGTATCTATATCGGTGCAACATAGGTGTCAAACTATCATGAGGGGAAACTTCATGAAGGGGGGCTCAAGGCAGAGATCAGAGCGACATTGAAAGTTATGATGCCTCGTGTCTTGGGAGAGGCCATGAAGTTGGGATGACCATTGAGAGAAAGCTTTTCAAAAATTGAAAACCGGTTTGATGGATATACTTGTATTGATAATTCCCTTAGGTTACGAGAAGATTTCAAATATATAGTGACACATTATTAAGAAGATTGAGCTGCATTTTAATGCGACTTGGAAGAGTAATTGCTTATGCTTTTAGACAACTATATAATTATGAAAGGAATTAGCTTAAGCATGACTAGAATTAGCAATAGTTGTATTTGCACTAATGATATGGAGACATTATTTGTATGGAGTTATGTGCGAAATATTTTTGGATCATCAAATTTCGAAATATATTTTCACCCAAAAGGAGTTCAATTTATGATAAACAAGGTGGTCAAAATTAATCAAAGATTATAATATGGACATGCAATGTCATCTATAAAAAAATAAATGTTATTGCTTATGCTTTAAGCAGATAAATGTAAAGCAATGCAAACTATTAAATTACTCAATTGAAGCAGTTAATAAAAAAAAAATTATCAATTGGGTTTGTTCATAGTCAATTATGCTGTTAAAATTTTTGTTATGTTGAACTTTATGATAATATAGTCTACTTTGAAAAATAGAATGCATGATGCATTATTGTGGGATATTAATTTTTGAAAATTCTTAATATGGTGAAAACAGGTCATAAAGAGGACTATGAGATTAATGGGAATGAATTATTGAGGTGCAGAGGTAGGATTTGTTCTCTAAATGTTGGTGATTTAAGAAAAGAAATTATCCAAGTAGCACATCACTTATGACTATTCTCTATTCATCAAGGGAGTATCAAGATGTATCTAGAACTTAAACTATTATTTTGGGTTATTCAAGCCTGATGCAAGTGAAATGAGCGGGAAAACTATTACGAGCGTGGCAACTAGGAGTACTACCGCATGTGCTGCAAGCATTATAAGATCCATGTGCTATAAGAATTACTAGTGTATTTAAGAAGTTTCCTCTCTTTTTTTTTTCTAATAGTGAACAGGGCAAATGATGTATGGCAACATCAACAAAAGATTCATCGTCATCACCATCCAACATGTCATCCTATTTATATCAGAAGTACTAATGTTATTATGTAAATGATGTAATATTCTTATTTAGAGGTCTTCTTTCAACCAAAAAATGACTCGTCTCTTATAAATATTCCTTTTGATTTTTTTTTTTAAATTTGCTCTTTGATTACTTTTCTATTTTATTGCTCTTTGATTACTTTTCTATTGACTGTGGGTCTGTGCTGGATGGGTAAGGGGGATGAAGTGGCTAGGCTTAGTTGCAATTACCTACTAAGAAATTTTGCTATCATACCAACATTGACGGAATATGATTATCTGATACCAAATTGATGGAGATTCTTTTATCATGGTCTTTTTTTTTCTTTCTTCTCTCATAAATAAGCTTTGAAATTGCTTTTTTTTGCCCACTTGGGTTCAATTTTAATGGAGAAAGTGTTGAATTAGGCTTTTAAGGAGAAGATACTAGAGAAAAAAACTATTTAGTGTCAACCAAGAAGAGGGAATTTGAGACAATACTCTTTGTTTTGGTTTGTGTTAGGAATCAGGCCTTACACATGGGTGTTGACCTCTGTACAATACCCAAAAGAAACAAAAATGAAATCATACCTTGACCGTCGGATCCATAATTTCTGCTGAAATCTCGGTTGGAATCCTCGTATCTGTCGAAGACGTCCGCGAATCCCGCTGATTCGGCGCCGCTCTCGTCGAATCCTCCGTTATTCCCGTGAACTTGCCTCGATTGAACGACCGCAGATGTCGTTAAATACCGATCCCAAGCTGCTCCTCCGATTCGCAGATCTCTCACGACTTCTTCCTCTCCGACTGCTCTTCCGCACTCGACCTCTGCCCAGCGACCTCTTCTCCCATCGAATCCCTGTAGCCAGCGACCAGATCCCGTCGACTAGAGCCTCCGACCCTCCTCCCATCTTCTTCTCCCATTGTCGAGCGCAAGCCGAAGCCTCGCCCAACCCCATTGCTTCTTCGGCCGAGGAAGAGAGAGAGAGAGAGAGTGAGCGCACCGACCTCTTGAAGCCCTAACCCGGCCGAACTCCACCTTGCCGGCCTACCTCCTTCGACGACACTTCCTTGCTGTCGGATCGGAAGACATTTTGATCGGGACACAAGAACAGGAGCTCGTCAGCTATGAAGGTAACTTTCCCCCTTGTCACGCTCTTATTCGGCCAAATCCCGTAACTCAGCCAAGCCAGAGAGAATAGAGAGGCAGAGATTAGTTTTTTTTAATTATATTAATTAATTTGAATTAGTTATAATTAATCTAATAATTATTTTCTTAATTATAATTAATTAATAATTATACTCCTAATTATCATTAATTATTATTAATTATTATTAATTATTATTAATTATGTTTAACTCCTAATTATAATTAATATGTTAATTATAATTAAATAGTTAAGTATTATTAATTTTAATTAATTATTTAATCATTTATTAAATTATAATTATTATAATTAGATAACATTAATTGTAATTAAATATAATTAATAGATTATTTATAATTAAATGATTAATTATCATTAATTTCAAAAAATGCTTGCTCTCTCCCTCGATCCTCGAACCGACATTCCTCGCGAAGGTATGAAGTCCTAAACTCAGATTGTCGTTTCGTTGTATGCGGCGGACCGGAAAACCGCCTATACACGCCTTTATTGCGCGTGGTGGGATGGGACCCCGGTCCGACGCCTACGACGAGGCGGGAATCGCCTAAACTCTACTTCGGTGTTCGTGGCGCACCGGAAAACCGCCTATACACGCCTTTATTGCGCGTGGTGAGAAGGGACCCCGGTGCGGCACTTACGGCGAGGCGGGGTCACTTATAAGTACCCCCGAGCGGGGGGAAAGCAAATTGTGTCACTCATAAGTACCCCCGAGCGGGGGAGAGAAGCAACTGATATCACGTATCCTTCTTCCAAATGCTATTGATAAAAAAGATTACTGGTTATCCAGCGTTTTTGAAGTAAGTATTATGAATATTTTTACTTTTTTATCTTGAATTTGTCTTTTTGTCCACCTAGTGAGTGCAATTTTATTCATGCAGTGGAGCTCAGGGAACTACTCTGAGTCTGTGAAAAGGTTATTTGAGCCTTCAGTGCACTGTTCAAATGGTGTGGCCGCTAGAAAATGCTTTCATGTTTCATTTGCAGATCCTCATGTTGGTCGCTACTGTTTAATTCTGGCTTCAAAACCTTGTTTAAAAAATGCAATTGGTGATTATCTTGCTTCAGTGCTGTCAAAATTTTCTACAGTGATGGATAGTTATTCCTTGAAAAGATTTGGTCTCCCTGTAAGTACATTTCAATTTAACCTTATTTTATTTGTTGCAATCGTTCATTGACTTTCCTTACGTCTGTCCTCTCTTCTGTCCCTCCTTCCTCACTTTCTCACACAATTTTGATTCTTTGGATTGTCCTATGTTCTTGAGGCATGATTGTTTTCTGAATTCAATATTATCCCAAGTTGCTCTGCATATTTTCCTACTTTTATATGCATTGCTATATTTCCCAGAAAACCGATGTGCTTCTGATAAAAAAATATGTATTGAAAACAAAAGTGCAATGCTCATGCTTTTTACTACTCAAACTTACTACTGCAATATTGACTTCCAACTTAAGTTTTCTTAGGAAATGTTTGTCAGACTGAATTGGTAAGAGTTTAGGTTTTATTTTCTAGTGTCTTGATGATAATATACCGGCAGGGTTTAATTCTTTTAATGTCTGAGTTTCTGTATTATGAATATCTTAATCAGTCTATTTGGCTTGAACATAGCACCAACCTAGATTACCTTCCTACATATTGGCATCTTGTTATCTATATTTAGTGAATTGTCTGATTCATCTGTCATGAATCATTTGCTTGTTGAAATTCATCAAAGTATATCTATAGGCAATGAAAGCTACAAATCACTATATGATTTGAATCATTGTCATCAAGAGTTCAAAGAGGGAGACATGGTGACTAGTTTTGTTTGGAGATGTTCATCATGGAACTCATAAGAAACAGGATCTTAGAAGAACATGGTTGTATTGGATCTTCAAATGGATGCAAGTATTTGTTCCTTAATTAACATTGAAGATTCAATGCGATGATGACACTTAACTATATTCTTGAGTCCTTTTGCTCTGCTATTGTCAAAAAAGAGTTAGACCACCATTAGGTTCATTTTCAGTTCCACAAGAATCACAAATGAGAAAGTAGAAGCTGCAAAATTCTCTTTGTAGGCGTACTTATTGTCCACTCCATCTCTCAACGTCTAGTGGTCATGAAGAAATTTGTTACATGGTATGTCTTTCCACTCCTTCTGCGTGATTCCTACCCGCTCTCGAACCCATCATCCCATCGCCTCTCATGTCGGGCCACTAACCTCCACTCTGGTCCCGTGTACCCAAGCGACCAACCTCAACGTGTGATCTAAATCCATGTGTGATCAGCCAGCGTGACTAAGTCTCCCAAGCAACTAACCTACGCCTTCACCTCCTTCCTATGTCTTCTAGGTCAATTACGTAAATGCCTGTATGTATATCTCTCGATCTACCTCAAATGCATGTCACTCCAAATGAAACAATGCCTAGTTTTTTCATTTGATCTAGTTTGAGGCAGCAATTCAATCTGCTTGTTGAGCACACACGATCACTCCAACCGACTAAATTGGGCTAAATAACTAAAATAAGATTGCTTTATAATTAAATAATTTCTTTTGGCAATAAAGCAATAGGTGTCTTCAGTTTCAAGTCCTTACGCTGTTGATCTTTGATCCGGGTAGGATGATTTCTATTTTGAAGACCCGCGCCATCATTATTTGAGATGGGCTGATGATTTTTAATCCGAAGACCCCGCATCGTCGATCTTTGATCCTGGCGGGTAGAAATCACGACAAGTGTCGTCCTGACCTTCTCTCGTGGGGAGGTGCTGCTAGGATGCTGCCGAATTCCTTTTTGGAGCTATTATAGAGTAATATTAAGCAATATTAATTAATTAAAACATAAACTTAAATTTTCTAATTAAACTAATTAAAACTTTATTCATTTAACATTAAAACTTTAATCATAAAATAAAAATCTAAACTTTCATAATTAAAATGAAATTAAATTAATAATTTAATTAATCAACTTAAAATCCAATTAATTATTTAGTCAATTTAAAATTTCATTTAATTAACTAAATAATTTTAAATTAATTAAAATATATTTAATTGGATAATTCATTAATTAATTTAAAAGAAAAATCTAATTAAACAAATTAAAATCCATTTAATTTAATAACTGATTAATCAATTTAAAATAAAATCTAAATTAATTGAACAATTATTCAATCAATTTAAAATGAAATTAAATTTTAAGTAATTAAGCAAATAATTAAAATTTCTTAAAACTTAATTAATTAAGTTAAATTAAAATGCAAGCAAATGATAAAACAAACAATATTTACACTAATTAAACCTAAAACAAACTCACACCAATTAAACCAAACTCCTAAAAACTATAACTCTCAAAATCAAAACCTAAAATACTAATAAACTCTCAAACATAACTCTCCAAACTCTCCAAAATCCCGACTCCTGTGCATGCTCCAAAGCAGCACAAACTCCTGCAAATAAACATAAAAAACTAGTAATGTAAACCGAAACTGTAGTGCAACAAAAGAACAAGTACTGTAAACTATAGTGCTAAAAGACAAAGTACTATAAAAAACTGTAACTAAAAGCAGTATTGAAATGAGAAAGAAAAAAACTACTGAAACTAAAAAACACTGGTGTAGCGTGTGGGCTCCGAAAATTCGGCCCCGGCCTCCGCTCGCTTTTCTTATTCGGCGAGGGAGTTTTAACGAACTAAGTTCCGAGGTAAATTTTGGAAGGCAGATGGGTTTGTAGATAAGACACTACCCAGAGATTTCGCCCTCATTTTATGAGGACTTTATGATCTGAGTTCTGATTTCCTATAGGCGCAAGCCCCTATAGTTAATTACTCCTCCCGATCACGAGAGAGAACTTTCGATTAAGGCTAGTCGTCAATCAGATACGTAGAAATACATAGCCACTTAGCTTATCCTGGGCTACTTTTAATGAAAGCAATAAGACCCACCTTTTAAATCCCAGGTTACTTTCAATGAAAGCAGTAAGACCCACTTTTTAAAACGGGCTACTTTCAATAAAAACAGTAAGACCCACTTTTTAAAATAGGCTACTTTCAATAAAAGTAGTAAGATCCACTTTTTAAATCTTGGGCTACTTTCAATGAAAATAGTAAGACCCACTTTATAAATGTTGGGCTACTTTTAATGAATATAGTAAGATCCACTTCTAAAATAATCGGGCTACTTTCAATAGAAGTCATAAGTCTCAAACCAATTCAATTAATCGAATAACTTCTAAATGAAGTCATAAAACTCAAACTAAATCAACTACTGGATATTCTAATAGATGTAAACCTCAAACCACCTTTTTGAAACTAGAACTCATTTCTAACCACCTCAGTCTATTCGAGATCTCATAGAGTTGTCAACCCATAATTGCTAATCAGATTTCCTAGACACTACGATCAATGATCACCAGTGTTGGTAGTCTGAAATCTATTCTCTGGACGACGAAACCATGGTATCTTGATTGGGTGTACTTTCATCTCCCATAAATGAGACTAAAACACCTAAAATTGCTCATCCTTATTCGAGAATTATCTCTTTCACATTCAGAGGGATAATTAACTATTAGGGCTTGCATTCATAGGAAGTAAGAACACATATCTAACTAAACCCTGATACTACCCTCAGAGGAATTCTGGTTAACTACAATCTGCCTTAGGGAGAATGAAATAGTAAGTCTACAAAGTAGGATTCATTCCAAAATGCCATTTTTCTTGAGCAAAAACATATTTTGACTCTTGGGACTTTATCTAATCTTATATGTATATGATTAGGCCTTAAACAATTGTTGAGTTATGAACCCTATCAACTCCACCCTCGTATGTTGATAATAAAGTCAAAAGGTTGTGACTTATGACAACTAGTTATCCTACGAGTTCACTGTAAGTTTTCTTTTTTATACTTTGATTTTTGTCCATTTTTATTTGAGTATTTAGAACCTAGGATGCCGTGTACTTTTAATTTTGTTGAACTAGGAGCTTAATTATATTTCAATTTTTTCTAAATTTCTTGTAAGTCATACATTTTATTGTAAATTTCAGTAGCACCTCGGTGTCTTCCCCGCGTAGGGGGCTGCATCGGGGTACTAAGCCTTCCCGCATGCCAAGAAAGGCAGTCACGGTATGTGACAAGTGATATCGCGATCGAAATTTCATTACCCATCTGCCAAGAAAGGCAATTATGGGTCTTCAAGTTCTTGTTTATAATGCACAAAATTTTCCTGCCTGCCAAAAAAGGTTGTCACAGGTACTTGGTTTTTTTTTTCATGTATGGTAGATTCCCTACCTGTTAAGAAAAAACGATCATGGGTACTTAATAATTTTCATGCAAATAAATTTCCCCGCTTGCTGAGAAAAGTTGTAATGGGTACTTATATTATGCATAAGAATTTCCTTGCTTGCTAAGAAAATCGGTCACGGGTAGGGTTTTGGTGGGGAGGGGTATAGGAAGGTTGTATGGAGAGAGATGTGGTGTTAGAGAGAGGAAATTCCTCTCTCTCCAATTTTAGAGAGAGAAAGAGAGGGGAATTTATTTATCTTAGAAGAGGGCAAGGAGGGAATGAGGGTTAAAGGAGATGTTTTGGATGGAGAGAGAGGTGTTTAGAATGGGGGGCTCGGTCGTCACGTCGGCGTCGTCATTCATGCATTTCTTTGCCTCAATTTGTATGTGCAAAATTTAAATTTTTGTCGGTCGACGACCCCAATCAATATGAGGATCAATCTGAGCTGCTTTCGTTGCTCCAGACGCACTGACGTTGTCCATTTCGTGAATTGAGGCCATTTCAGCGATTTTGGTTTTTGGCCGACGTGGGTCGGCTGAGTTTTGCACGACTTCGAGCTCATTCGCTTTCAAAATTCATCGTGCGTGGTCGACTCGACCCCAACACTAGTGTTGAGGCCAACACTCCACAATAAATAGTGGAAATGACAATATTGAAGGGATCAAGATGAACACACAAAATTAAAAATGCTCGTGCCTACACCTTTGTGATGGGCATGATTATTTCAAATTATAATTGAATGAATTTTCAATAAATATATGCATACCATGATAATAGGTCTTTAGGGATGTAAAATTCAACGTAGGCTTAATAAAATTATAGATGTTTTTTCAATCGAGTGTGTTTGTTGTTGGATGCTAATTCTTCAAGGGTGTTGCAAATTTTGATAACAAGTTCTAGGGAATTCTTCCCTTTGGATTGTCGATAGGCTTATATATTCTATTTGGTGATTTATATTTTTGTTCTTTTCATGTACATACTTCATGATTGATTTTGCAATATGATAGTGATTTTGTTAAGTTTGCTATAATTTGACTTTACCATTTATTCTATTGTGAATCCTAATCATTGCATGAGTTTATTTCCTTATCAGATTTTAGATAATCTTTAAATTATTGATTGGAATGAATTTTATGTGTTTTCTAATTTGCTTCAAAAGAGAGTAAATTTTGCCGAAAGTAAGAGCTATTGAATTGTGAATTTTATTTTTTTTATGCTTATTTTAGGCATTCCATCCTAGAATTACATTTGCAAGCCCTACATTTGATGCAATAAAAATAGTACAAGTATTGCAAACTCAAAGAAAGTCTTCATTTCCTTAAACATTGACAAACAAAACCTTACAATTTAAAATAAAAGGAACAACAATAACAAATAATTTAAACATGATACAATGACACCCTACAAATACGACTCAAAGACATCTTACAACTTTTAAAAGTTTGAGAAGAAAGATACAGATGTGATGAAAACCGTGCAGAGAAGAAAGAGATTGGAAACCGAGACGAATTTTAAAAAGAGAGGGAGGTAGAAGACAATAGCTCGCAAGCTATTCTAAACCCTCAAGTTTTTACATTCCAAAAATCATCACTTACTCTCTTTTTTCTGCTGCAAAACAGCCCCCATATATAGGTAAAAATAGAAAAAAACTACAACCATAAATCTGCCTAGGAAACCAGCAGGAACAAGCAGTCACCACTCCTTTTGGAGCCATCAATACATAGGAAATAGCAAGGGAGGGGAACAAACAACATGGGGAAAACCAATAGGCAAGTTTTGCCTACATCAACATTCCAGGTCATCATGCATCATTTACCTTTCTATCTTATATCACATACATTATTAGTTTCAAGAAGTTTTGGATATATGACTCTAACTTGAGAGCTGTAAAAAAGAATGCTAGGGGTTTCCTAATTTCCTTATTGCTAATATCTTATTGTGCTTTATTACCATCATGCAGCATTCCATTTTTGAGGTCTCCTGACAATTTTATAGGCAAGATGTTTTTATGCTCTTATGATTTTTGTCCTAATTGTCTACTATGCAGCCTGACTGATGCTTGAATGGTTTTTAATATACTGTCCTTTTACACGTCAAATGGTTAATTTTTTGGAGCTAAGAAGGAATGTTATTCATGATTTCCAAACTTCAATTTCAACTCTTTTCTTTAAACTATGATGCATAAATCTGAAAACTTCTCATTTATTTCCGGAGCTGGAGGCATTGGAGCGCCTTGCTTCTCAAACAATGGAGGGAAATTCTGAAGTGAACACCAAACATATTGAAGCTATTTTTGAGGGACAGCTTTTCCCTTTTTCTATTGCAACTGCTACTCAAGCCTGGTTACAAGAAGGTTTTGCATACCATTTAGAGTCTAATTTTAGATTAAGTCTCGCAATGATATTCATTTCAAATTTATTGCGGGAGCTGCCTTGCTGGGCATACCGGAATCCAGTAATATTTCTTGACTTGGTTAAGAATGATGATTCTGATAGTGATCAAGAAAAACATAAGACGGGGGAATTCAGGCAGAAGTTGAATGTGGTTATTCTAACATTTGAGCGGAGGTACTCACTTAAGCTGATTGATTTAGCTAACATGGTACTTGAAACTCCTCCTTGTGTGAAACTTATAATCTCTTCTCATTTGTTTGCTATATTTTATTGTTGACAATGGATATATTTCTTGTTTTTTAACCTAGGTACTACTCTTGGCATGCAACAATGGATTATTATTTCTTGGGTACCAATTGTTGGAGGGATTTATTTTTCGGGAAAATGATGTTGATAATCAGCATAAAACTGGTCATTCTACTCGATGCACTATTTTGTTTAAACTGATTGTGAAGGCAAACAAGGAGCTATTTTATGCATATTCTCGATATGTTGTATGTTGTCATTTATCTGATTCTACGATGAAGCTGCTTTCTGGCAGAGCCTCCTCTGCAGAAATTTGTAGTGAAAGTTATTTTCAGAGGAATTTCTGTATGCAGTGCTTAATATGCTCATTGAGAATTATCAAACCCCTGGTGAAGTATTATGATAATTTACTACTTAGTGAAGGACTTGCTTTGAGCACCTATTCATTTCTTGAACTTGTAGAATACATGCTGTACTTCTCTCGCAATTGGTTTAACAGAAATATTAGCGGGTTGATTCAAATGGTGTGCCAAATTCATAGTGCTTTTGTTAGTAATCATGATTCTATTGAAGTTCTGACAGGTGAACAGCTAAAGATTCTGCATCCTACGTCTGATAATAATACCGGTGACGCATTAAATGATGATGAAGAGGTATTGCATGAATTTATCAACCAAAAAAACCAAGCTAAACTAAGAAACTCTTTGGCATTTTCAATCCCAGAAGATGAAAGGTGGCAATTGATAGGAACCTCTTTGTGGATACATAATAATAGCTTTACTAATCAAAAGTTGAGCAAATTTCTTGCTACACAAAAGTTAGAAGCTGAAAAGTCTATAGCAGATCATAATCAGTTCCGTATTGCTGTTGCTAAATTAACAATGGCATCCATAGCATATGTTTCCTCTTCAGTAACAAAACAGCTTGCCTCTTTTCTTAGAGAAAAAGCATCGAAAGGCTTACCTGTTGCAACGTTTGCTTGGTTGGAGGAATCTAAACAGCATGAATCCAGCTCCCTGCCACATCAAAGTGATCAAGGAATTTGTATCAGGCAACTGTCTGCCAGTGAGGATAGGGAGGACCTCGCTAAAAAGTTGTGGGAAATTTCTATTAATGCGAAGGAAATTTATCAGAATTTGTTGAATGAAAAAGTTTATGGCTTTACCTATAGTAGAGAGAAGCTTCATTCTTCCTGGAAAGATTTTCAAGAAGTTAACCTTTCTGAGCATGTGAGTGATGCTTCACATTATAAATCTGAAGGCAATAGTAGTGCCAGAAATGCAGTCGGATCACTCTTTGGTAAAAAAAATTTGGACACTGATACCTTTCTTGAAACAAGAAGAAGAGATTCAGATCCAAAATTAGAGAAAGCTAATTTTTGCAATCCAACAGAAATAGTAAAGAGAAGTGGGGAGCTTCTAGAGGTTATTGTTTCTACTTTTTAATGTTTAGCTATGATTGTCATTTTTAATATCCAAGGGGATGTGTCGCAATTATACTCTGTATTGATGTCCCTTCGAAATTCTGCATATTTACATAAAAAATTTTCAGTTAAACATTCTATCGTGTCTGACATTTAACAGTCGATATGCATCTACTATTGCAGGCTATTTGCTGCAATTCCATCTATGAGCAACAACTTGCTGCCACTAGCAACCGAAAGGCAAGTTTTCTTATATGTCAGATCTGAAGCATGCTGTTTCCATTTGAATCTTCAAACATTGTTTTTAAGCTGTGCAATCACAGTTTATGCTGCCAAAATTTAAGTTCTACTTTATAGAATACCTTCAAACGACATTTCTAGCTGTATTAATATGACATAGCATGATCTTGCAATTCATGCTATTATTGCATGTGTATTTCCTTCTGTACATGATTTTACCAAGCATTACAAAATCAGGCCATTTTTATTTATTTTGAGTTTTTTTGCACATCAAACGTATCTTTGATCCATTTATTGCGGGTTGACTATTGGTGCTTAATGAACAAAGATATTGTTTGGTCCTTTTGGAAGACGATTGAATTAAATGTTTTCTTCATTAGCAATCTTAGTAATTTTTCTTTCTTTATTTCATCTCTTGTCCCAGAGAGGAAAAAAAAGGTGAAACAAAAAAAAAATGTTAAAATAATGAACAGGGTACATCCCCCCTGTTTTGGCCATTCGTTTCCTCTGCCTGCCCGGTTCCTTTCCCCTGGCTCTGTCCGTTCGGTGGTTGTGTCCCGCTGCCCCTTCGTGTGCTGCTCCAGCTAGCTGCCTGTTGGCCTTTTGCCTCCCCTTTTCTGATTAGTTTGAGTGGGCGGCTGTTGGCTGTTGGGATCCCTTTCTTCTCTTATATATTGGGATGTTTTGTGGCTAGTTTAGGAAGAGATAATGGATGGTTTTTGGAACTAAAATCTGAGGGTTTTTTTTTTGATAGCTTGCTAGCTTTATCTACTTCTTCTTCTCCTCTCTTTGATTTCATCTCGGCTTCTTATTTATTACTTCTCTTCGTAAGTTTCCACCCCATTTGTATCATTCTTCTCAATTAATAAAAAAGTTTTAAGGTGTCTTGAGTCGTATTTTTAGGGTGTCATTGCATCGTATTATATCTTTTATTTCAAGTTTGTAGTGTCAAATTTTGTGTCTTATTTATTATATTACTTTTAGTCATTTTTGAAAGGAAGACGTCAAGTTTATATGCAATCTTAGTATTTTCCAAAATTTTGATTGCATACTTGTTTATTTTAGTTCAACAAATGGATTGGTTTGGAATAAGATTGATTCACTCAACATGGGTTGAATGAATGAGAGTTTCATCCAATTTTTGAGTTGTAGAAAGAGAGAAATTTTTCTACAATTTGGTTTGTAGAAAAAAGAGGATAAAATGGAACTCATGAGTTGCCAATTTATGGATGCTCCTTTGAGTATTGGATGTTTAAAGGAAGAAGATAATCTACCCAACTTGTGTTGGGTAAATAGGAGAAGGTGATATGCAGATTTGGACAACAAGCCACCATGGATTCTCTTTGAACTTATGGGTGCTCAAAGAGAGAAATTCACTCTTCCAGTTTAGATTGGAAGGATGAAATGGAGATATTTTCTACTATCTTTGAGTTGTAGAAGGATGAACTTCTCTACAATTTTGGTTTGTGGAGAAGAAGAGAGAAAATGCAACATATGGATTATAGATCCATGAATGTCCTTAAACATTTGGTGTTCGAAGGGAGAGAACCACTCTCCTAAATACGGGCTTAGGAGAACGAGAGGACTTTCTACAACTTTTGAGTTGTAGAAGAGAGAAGCAACAAACAACTTTTGGATTGCAAGTTGGAAGAAATTCCTTGAACATTTGGTGTTCAAGGGGGAGTATTCATTTGCCTAACTTTGTGGCTAAACAAATGAAAGGGAAGATCTCAAGGTTTGATGGACGATCAGCAGACCCAATTCCTCCTCCACTAGAACTCATTATCCTACGAAAGAATCGAAGGATCGACACAAATTATAGGTTCAATAGTTAGAACTCCAAATAGAATGCTTAAACATTATTCAACCCTTTCCCAAACTCATTTAAACTCATTTGCACCCATAGCAACATCCTCTAAAATAGCATTTCTATCTTAAAGTCACTCTACTTGAAATCCTAAAAAGCACAAGTTGCTACTATAACATTTATTAAAAAAAATAGCTATTAAACATGCATTCACAACCAAATCAAATTAACCACTTAGATGTAAAAATGTACTAGCAACCGAATAACACAAAAATAAATGACTCACAAATGGAATTTGCTTAAGCACATAATACAAATATACTGAAAACAGAAAACCTAAATGACCAGAATTTATAAATAAAATTGCATGCCCTATTTTCTACAACCTAATAAATATGCAAAATCGTCCGAACGGGAAAAATAAACTGGAAGAAAAAAAAAAACAAAACATAAAAAGGGTATTTCGTATCAAGGCAACAAATCTACATGCCAAATCAAATTAACCACTTAGATGTAAAAATGCACTGCAACCCCTTGTCTTGCCTGCTCAGGAAGATGCAGAATGGTTTCCCCTAAATCAAAGAAATAAACCCTCAAGATGGGCCTTCATGGAAAACGAGTGGGATGGACATGAAGACTAAGATGTAGAAAGCGAACCTTTGCACAAAGACGAAGAAACGAAGTGCCGGACGACCTCGTTCAATGGTCTTGCTACTCATGAGTCCGTCACTTATTGTTGCCTTCTTGCTCGCCTAACACGTGTGGCTTCCCTACTCACAAGGCCCGTCGATTCCTGCTCTAGAGCTTGTTGCCTTCCCTCTCACGAGAATTAAGTTCACCTTCCTGCTCACTTAAGTCACAATGCCCTTCTTACGATCCCATCACCTAACACGTGCCCTCGCCTCGCCTTCTGGTAGCATAACACGTGACCTCAAAACCGAAACTAAAATGCCCGAACTCACGGTAGTGATATACGGGCTCTAGCGGTTCATGCGTCCAATACGCGTTTTTTTTAATTAGGACATGCATATCCGATACATGTGTCCGTTTTAAACTTAATATTTTTTAATCGGATACGTCATTGCCATATCCGACACGTATCCGATACAACACGCCTTCATAAATAGGTGTATCGGTGCAACATAGATGAACAATATGATTAATGTTATGGATAGTTAGATCTAATGCTTTAGAGAAGAAATTATATATATATATATATATATAAAGAAAATAATTAAAATAATTTGAAAAATAAAAAAAAATTATTTATTTATTTTTATTTTTATTTTTACATATTTTTTAGTATTGCAGTTATTATGATTTGGCAGTTTAGGTAAGGAACATCTCCCCATGTATGCACTTTTAAAATCTAGTGCATCACCAAGTGATCATCTTTGAATTGTATCAGCTCTGTTATTACCTTTTAGTTGAAACTCTATGTTTCTACTATACCTTGACTGCCATATGAATTAATGCATTTTTCGGTGTTATCTGATTTTTTTATACCGCATTGCAAAATCACATTATATGTTTTGATAGTTTTATGCATACCTAAGATGTGTAATTGAACTTTCTTCAAGCATTTATTTTAGATTTTATTTGTCTTCTGGGCATATTTGTACTTTTAATTTTTTATGCATGAATGGATGCGTGCTTGGTATGCTCAACAATTATAGACATTGTATAGACATTAATGGTTTAACCCTATCTTAATTCAGGGGCTTTTCTTCTTCAACTGGAAAATGGAACCAGCACGCAAAGAAAAATCACTGCTCATTTGGCCAGAGGCTGATTGGCCATTAGATGGATGGGCGGGTTCGGAATCTAAACCAGGACCAACATGCGTGTCTCCAGGTGTTGGACTTGGAAGCAAAAGTGGCACACACCTCGGGTTGGGTGGAGCAACTGTAGGTTTGGATTCAATGGCTAGACCTGTAAGGGACTTGACAGGTGGGGGGGCTTTTGGTATTCCAGGCTATGCTGGCATAGGGGCTTCTGGTTTGGGTTGGGGTGAACAGATAGAATTTGAGATTTTAGACCCTCCTGCTGTAGCTGAACATGTTTGCTCACGAGCTTTATCTAGTCATCCTTCACGGCCATTTCTTTTGGTTGGTTCAATCAACACACTTATTCACCTGTGGGAGGTATGCACCCGCACCCTATTATATTATTTAATATTTTTGAGATATTTTGCCGTTTATTTTATTGGACCATGATGTATCATGGTACATTTCTATTATGCAGAAAAATCCGGGCTTCTGATTTTTGCGTGAATGCAACTTCTTGTGCTCTTAGTTTGTTTTAATTTGTTGTAATTAACATGTCTTTTTTCTATTTGGTATGACCGTCCTTGAAATTAGCACTATTTTCATTTGGCATAGGGACATGTCCATAACGTCCATATGCGTTGTAGAGATACAAATACTGCTCATTTTACAAAAGTATAGAGTTGGATTTGTTTTTTTAAGTATTTAGAAAGTAATACCGGATCGGGGAGAATGACACCCCCACCACCCCAAGAAAAAAAAAAAAAAACAAGAAAACCCTTTTTCTCCAATCATAGATGCAAAAGGGGTGTAGCATGTCCACCAAAGAAAGCTATTATTTCCTTTGGTTCTTGGAATACAACATGGTTACCAATGCTCTAAGGGTATCAACAACAACAACAACAACATCAAGCCATTGTCCCATTACGTGGGATCAGCTACATGAATCCTTTTTCTTCATTGTGTCCTATTAAAAGTCAAATTCTCATTTAAATCTAATAAAGAAAGATTATTTCTAATATTTTATAACTAAGTCTTTTTAGGTATACCTCTACCTTTCTTAACATAAATCAAATCTAATACCTTCCTAACTGGTTTATTGGGAGGCTGCCATTTTATGTGACCAAATCATCTAAGGAGACTCTCTCTAATCTTATCTTCCACTGGAGCTACTCCAACCTTTTCACGTATATGCTCATTTCGTATCCTATCTCTAAGGGTAAGCCACTCATCCACCTGAGCATCCTCATCTCTGCAACACTTAACTTAGTATTGTGCTTCTCTTTTAATGGCCAACATTCGGCACCATAAAGCATTGCAGGTCTCACCACTATCTTATAGAATTTTCTCTTAAGTTTGAGGGGGACTTTTCTATCACACAACAAGCCTGATGCATTCCTCCACTTTAACCATCCAACTTGAATTCTACTGATAATATCCTCATCTATTTCACCATCACTTTGAACATAGTTTATTGTTTATGTACAGAAGGACAAATGAAGTGAGATTCTTGTAGGGTTTCTAATTGGGGCCTCTTATTATAGAGAACCCTAACTTTGGAGTTATATTTGTTACATTACAAATGATTAAGAAATTGAAAAACTTGGTTATGTAAAGAAGTATGCATAGAGGCTACAAAGAGTGATATTTGCTTTAGGAGGGATGATAAAGTTGCACCAGCAAGAATTGTATTGGTATGATCTGGGTGTCTTGCAATTCAAATCAAGTCTCTTGAATTGATGTAACCCCTTTTGTTGTCTATGTATCCTTTTGTGCTTTACAAACTCATTGTATCTTTTGGGCTTAAATTAGGTCTAACAATGGGTGTAATTTGGGCTTGCAATTGGACTTGATATGGCTTACCCTAAGGCTAGTCCAACGTAGATGCACCCTCATCCATTATTATAAATAGGGCCTTGTCCTAATGATTTATACCCCAACTTCCAACAAGAAGGTTATATGTTTGATCCCCACTTCTCACGCTGCACATTTTCATAAAAGAAATATCAAATGTTAGCTTTTGTATCAAAGATTTGTTCACTTCGGTGACTCTTCTTAAAATCATTTAATTGATCTTATGCCCCATTATAAATAAATATGAAATATATTCTATATATATATATATATAAGTTAAGATATTAAAAAGAAAATAGAAGTGTGTATTTTGACCTCACCATAAATTCATTTCGGCCCCATCACAAATTTACCTTGCCACAAATTTATTGTTAGGATTATCACGTGTGAACGTATAATGCATTTTTTTCTTATGCAGGTGAAGTCCCATGTCTTTTTTTAAAGCGTGGTGGGTTAAAACCTCTGGGCGTGGTGACTTAGACACCAATCATGCATGCCTTTTAATATGTGATGGGCAGGCCTAACACTCCCCCAAATGCCCCCTACATGAGGGTAATGTTATGATGTTGTTGAAATTTTTATTGAGTGAATTTGAAAAGTGCGAAATTTAAATGAGCTTTTGAACCAAATAATGAGACTAAAATGAAAAATATAAGTACAAAATATTAAATTCAGATAATTGGAAAAGTAAAATGCTTGATTTTATTGCATAAAACTCTTCTTATTGTAGATCTATACAAGATATCTTAATAAGGAAACAAATAATTACAAAGTAATGCATAATTGAACTAATATAATCTTTTCTAATCAGCCACCCAAATATGGAAGGAGATTGGCGTGATCCAGGTTATCCTTCCGTGGATTCCCATGCTGGCTATGGGGTCAAGAGGGCTGGGATGGCTAGGACAATATTTGACGCTCCCTCTTAAGCTGGAGAATACAGATCTGTCATTCTCAGCTTAGTAATCAATTCCTTGACGGTAGAGTTATCAAGTTCCTTGGGAAGAGGGCCTGTAAGCTAGACGCGGTAATTACAAATAAACTCACTATCCAATTTCTTTTTTATGAAATATTTGTCCACTTCTTTGTGCTTGGTCCTGTCATGTTCAACTAGATTGTGAGCTATGTTGATCGTTAATTTGTTTTCATAGTTTAGTTTTGTGGGTCCTTTCCTCTTGATCCAATCTTCTAGAGTCATTTTAATCCATAGTAGTTCACATATACCTAAGGCCAGGGCTCTGAATTCTGCTTCTGCACTAAACCTTGCCACTACATTTTGTTTCTTACTCCATGTTGTAATTAGGTTTCCTCCAAGAAATGTGTAGTATCCTGAGGTAGATCATCTTTCTATTAGTGATCCTACATAATCTATATCAATATAAGCTTCTGGGATTATTTCACATTCTCTTCTGAAGAGAATCCTCTTTTTTTTTTGGATTCTATTAGGTAGTACAATATTCTATCTACTACTTGCATGTGAGCCTACTTTGGATTTTGCATGAATTGTTGACCATGGTTATAGCAAAGGCTATATCTGGTCTGGTGTGGAAAAGGTATATCAATTTTCATACAAGTCTCTGGTAAGCTCCCTTATCTATGACTGGATCCTTTTTTAGTTTCCCCCAATTTGTGATTTGGTTATATTGGTATTGGTGTTAGTTTATAGGCTAGTTTACATGTTTCTTTAAGAAGCTCAGTAATATATTTTTCTATTGTGAAATGATAATTCCTTTGCTAGAATGAGCCACTTCAATTTCTAAGAAACATTTCAATCTACCAAGTTCTTTAATATCAAATTCCTTGACAAGACATTTTCTTAGAGTTACTTTCTCTTTTCATAATTCCCAATCAAAATGATATCATCCACATAAACTAACAAAACTATGAATCTCCTTGAGTCTGAGTGCTTGAAGAATAGTGTGGTCCCCTTGGCTCTACCGTTATCCATTGAGTAGCTTGACCTTTGATAATTTTTCAAGCCAAGCTCTAGGTGACTGCATTAGCTCATATAGAGCCTTTTTTAACTTATACACTTTGTTACCTCCAAAATTGTCCTTGATTCATAGTAAAATCTCCATAAATATTTCTTCCTCCAAATCTTCGTAATGCATTTTTTACATCCAACTATTCCAGATGTTGGTTATAATTAGTTGTTAGGGAGATCAAGATCCTAATGGTGCTCATCTTGGCCACAAATGCTAAAGTTTCATGATGATCAATGTTGTATGTCTAAGTGTACCTTTTTTTACCAGTTTTGCCTTGCCCCTTTCCAGTGTACCATCGGCTATATTTCACAAAGAATACCCATTTGACGTCGACTAGTCTTTTTCCTACTAGTAGGTGTTAAGTGTAATTATGTACTATTTATCATGTTTAAATTCAGTAAAAAACATATAATTTTAGTGGTGTTTATGTAGAAAAAAATCATGAGAAGGCACAAATCTACAAGTATTGGATAGTACCACATTTCCTTTATTAGAATCGCCGCAGCGGATGATTTTACAGCACCCCAGCGCCATATTTAAACATTGCAGCCATGTTCCCTATTTTCTAGCACCAAGGCGACACCAAAGTCAGCGCCACAGCGTTACATAGCGCCTCTCAGCCCAAATTAAGCATTGCAGCACTTGAGTCTCGAAAAAATAAGTGTCGGAGCACCGAGCCATGCAACACCTCAAAGAAAACTAAAGAATATTTCAACTCAGCAAGTCGTATTCTAGCCCTATGCACATCAGTAGGTCAATGATCTCCCTGGTATTATTCTTCTCCAGGGCTTGCATTTAATCTTTTCATGACACTTCTAATTCTCATCAAATAAAGCTTCTAAAATATTGTTAGGAATATGAATATCATTTTGTGTAACTATGAAATTTTTGTGTGAATGTGAGAAATTATGGAAGTATGCAAAGTTGGTTATGGGGTACACGGGAGGTTTTTAGGTGAACTCATTTTTATCATAATTTCAAGAGACGTTTCAAATTCTTGGATCTGCTCTGAAGTATAGTTCAGATTTGTATGCCTGGAATTTATCTTTCCAATCCTCATGTTATCCATAATAACCACGACTTAAAATTGTGTAACTTGAGGCGCACCTCTGCGTAATTGCCGACTGAAACTTACTTGTCAAGGTGGACACCTTTTGCAAGCTTCATGAGACGCACGCCTCTATTTTCATGAGGCACGCCTCGCCTCATTTCCATGAGGCATTCGCCTTAGAAAATAACAAAAAAAATTAAAATCTAATCCTTAAACCTGTTCGACTCATTCAACATTTTGTTTGTTTGATTTCGCCTGCTTCGTTGATTAAAATCTTCTTCGCCTTTGTCACGCTGTTCCCTTCCGGTTAGTTTTAAAGTCATGACAATTTGATGTTCTTCCTATTGGATCGGAAGTAATGATAGGAGCTTGCTCGCTGTGACCGTAGCCATCTTTATAGCATCTCACGTGCTTTTTCACTGCTCCATGCTCGATTTCGCTTGGTTCACGAGAGGTAGGGTTTGTATGAGACTCGAGCTTCTTTGCCT